TTCAGAGGTCAATCTAACAGCAGTATAGGGCTTTCATGATGGTCCCATTGTGGTTAAGAACCTGCCTTTTAATTCTGGGGACACTGGCTTGATCCCTGGTCCGGGATGATCCCACATGTCCACGCATCACAATTACTGAGCCCCCCGCTCTAGAGCCTGGAGGTTGTAAATACTGAGCCCGTGTGCTGCAACTACTGAACCCTTCGTGCTCTGGAGTCCATGATCTACAAGAGAAGCCACTGCAATAAGAAGCCTGTGTACCACAACTAGAGAGTAGCCCCCGCTTTCTGCTAGAGAAAGTTCATGTTGCAGCAACAAAGATCCAGTGCAGCCAAAAATAAACAGAACAGAACAGAAAATAAACATTTTTAAAAAGAACAGTACACGGAGTTCCCTGGTGGTCCAGTGGTTAGGACTTCAAACTTTCATAACCGAAGACCGAGTTTCAACCTCTGGTTGGAGAACTAAGATCCCACAAGCCAGTACAAAAAGGGATGTGAGATTAACAATTTAAATTAAATAACTTTTTCTCATTTAAATGAGAGTTTCTGGAATATGGTGATTTTGCTTTATATGTTCTCCTTGGATATGCTATTTTTAATAGCCTTAGTGTCTCGAATTTTCTTGGGGAAAAAAGTCTAAAGTGTTCTTAACTATCACTTACCAGGTAGTCCATAAACAGCAACACTATAAACAAATACGAAGACATCTCTTTCAACTGAGGACATATGGAATTATAGAGCCAAGGGCAAATAAAAGGCTGTATTATGTCAGGATCCAAACAATTCAAGGATAAAAGTAGAGAAACCAGAATTAAATATCTATAATCACTTTCCTTGTCATCTCCATAAGCTATAAACAGCTTTTCCTGTAGTTTCAACAGGAGTAAATGGTGACCAAGTATACAGCATCCAATCACCTTTCATTGCTGTAATTGTGTATATTCATTTCCAAACAACTTGACTTTGTTATCTGATGTGCTTTAAAATATCAGTTCTGACGACTGTTTTGGCCAGTGCTTCTCAAACTTAGGCATGCATCAAATCACCTACAGCTTCTAAAAACAGTTACCCAAGTCCTGTTCCAGAAACTCTGGGTTCCATTCTATTCTGCAGGTCTGAAGAAGAACCAAAGACTTTCTAACAAGCTTCCAAGTGCGCTGCTGACCTAGGTACCACACCTTTGGTAGTAGAACTGATCCAGAATAGAGAGTTACTTCTATACATCCATGTTCCCAAAAAGGAAAACCAAGACTATAGAAAACATTTCTGTACTTTGCTCAATACTTTAAATAATGGTACCGAAAGTACCACTCCAATTATTCTGTCATCAAGAAAAGAATTCCTGAGAACAAACTAGTGGTTACCAGTAAGGAAAGGGAAGGTGGAGGGGCAGAACAGAAACAGGAGAGTAAGTATAAACTCCTGTGTATAAAACAAACAAGGATATACTGTACAGTATAAGGAACTTAGCCAATATTTTTTAATAACTACAAATGGAGTATAATCTTTAATAATTGTGAAACACTATGTTGTACACCTAGAACATTGTATAACTCAATTATATGTCGATTTAAGAAACAAAATCTGTGCTGAAAGACCTTTCACCCTTTATCTAGACTCCCTTAATGACTTAAGTTGACTGCCATTTCTCATCCGTAAATATCTTACTTTTTTGTCAATATTTAAAGGCACTGTACTTCTTACATTTTCAACTATCATAATTCTCCTATAATAAACCAGTAATGACTGCCACATACTACATACTTTTGGTATACGAATTAATTAACTGACCTTTTTCCTTATTTTTTTAGTGTTTTTAATATTGTGAGATAAAAGCAACTTCCTTACTGTGTTCCAGCACATTTCCAAAGAAACTAAGGCAAAATAACTCTTTTTGCAAGATGCACCGCAGCAAATAAAGAAAAAAAAAAAACCTGCTTCTCTAGTACTTGTTGCTCGTTAAGAGTTCTACAGCTGAAACTGGCATTCCCAGCTTAAACCGACAATACAAAACAGGATGGAGAAAGTCAAGTTTTCTACCCAAATCACTCTGGTTTTTTCATTAATCTGTCTACACAGGGCGCACACTGAGTGTATTCAGAGATGTCCACGGCAAGCATCCAAATGCCTCCACATTTGACCAATTTAAGATGGTCAATACCATGGTTCATCTAGATGCTTGCTCCAACTGTGATCTAGGTCTGTGTGCTTGTGACAGAAATACTTTTCATATATGAGACAACAAAACATACAGTTCAGGAAACAGGATGTGGTATCAACAGTTACTATAAGTTCCAGAATCATACTGTCCCGTTTCTGAATCCTAGCTATTTCTTAGATGTGATGACTGCAGACTCTCTAAGGACAAGGGTTCGAGGTCCCTACTTGACAGGGGATGTCATGAATGAGACTACCAGAGGGACAAGAGGAGGAGGAGGGGAAGGAGCACAGTGACAGCCTCGGTCAGTGACTAGTACTGGTGTCTTAGAAAAAGGAAAACATTCCCTGGAAATCCTCAATTCAGTGTGTTAACAGCTTCTGATTAATTTTCCAAATGTACATTAATGGAAAAGATACCAAAGCCCAGTCACACCTCCCTGAAATGTAAATCTATCGACTGTCCAAATTAAGGAAGCCAGACCCACATTCAAAAACTAAAACAAAGAATCACTACAGCTACATGCACCTTATTTGTCCCCCAACTACACTTGCCTTCAAGATGTACCTTCAGTGAAGACGTAATTCCCAAACCACCTCCTGGGAAGCCAGAAAAGAAATGTCCACCAACTAGTCCCCAAAAGACACCAAGTACCCTGGCTCACAAGAAATACAAAAGTTTGTTTCTATTTACTTCAAAAAAATGAGAACAAGGCTCACCTATGCAACACTTCTGGGCGCAGAGACACTGCTCCAAGCACTTTGGACCTGATTACCAGAATCCCCTCACACCCACGGAGACAGGAGGTGCCATTTGCAGGACATGGGCTCTGCCAGCCCTTGTCTCCTGGGTGTTCCTGTGACTCTCTCAAGCAAGCAGAGGCATCTGCACATGGAGTTATTATTGCACAGTCCCCCTGTACCAACATGGAAAGCAGGAGGAGGCATGACCACCGGTCACTGGCTGCACACAGAGTCTTAGTGCCTTACTCTCTGGAGGGCCACAGTGGCGGCAGGCAAGGAGAGCAAGGCTCCAAGCTCTGCTTTCCTGTATTTGTTTGCTATAAACACTTCATCTGCAATGCAAACCCGAAAACCTCACTACTCCAGTCCAACACCATGACTTAATACAAGTTAAGCTGAGCGTTAGGCATACAAGGGAATTTGGTAAAGCCCACAGCTGGGCCAGTGGGGCTTCCCACTCCAAGGCCAGTCTCTCACCACCCATCATTCCCTCTTACCCATTCAAGGACAACAGTTAACAGCTTTCATTTGTGATATGTGGAAACTTCTGTTTCAGTTTTTTTCCACCCCACCCATCCTCAGATTTGCACTGACATCAGAAAAAAATAGGAAAACGACTGATAACTTTTCAACTTCTCCTTTTTGCTACTCTTTAAGTGAGACAAGCACACCTCATATTAAAGCCCTAGATCACATTTCCTGCATCATGTAACAGATGGAATGAGAGATTCTTTAGCTGTACACATACGAACTTCAAAAATCAAATGCATACATATTTATTCCTTTTTAGGGGAAAAAAGATGAACAATGCTAGTTTTGCAAAGTTAAATGTGTAATTTGCTTTCATCTCCCATTGTATGTAAGTTTTTTTTCCAATATCTTCTATTTACGCCAAGAGATGGTTTACTACTTATGGTAAAGATAATGAGTGGAGGGAGATACATTACATAAATTATTAGATCACTAGATATGACAGAACTGTGAAGATGGTGGGCAAATAAGTGAAATTTGAGAAATGTTTTATCAAACCTCAGAACTCGCCCTATCTTCATATTTTTACTTTTCAAGTCATTTCTTAAACTGAGTATCAGATATATTTACATTTCCAAGTTTTCCGTCAAATAGAGACATGTTTTGGTTTAACTACCAACAATTAATGAAAGGCACCTTTATTCATCCAGACCTTCTGTAACAGCCCAGGGGACCCTCACACTCTCCTCGGACTATTAGAGTGGTGACCGAGGGGCGCAAGCATTTCAATATGAATAATTTGAAAATAACTGTATCATCAGTCTTGTGAGGTGCTAGGGTCAATGAGGGTCTCCCATATTTAACAATCTTATGATTAACACTCATACAATCATAGTTGATTTATTAAAGAGGATTTCATGGTGCAGTAGCCATCACTAGTACTGGTGGATGTTTAGTACCACAGTAAAAGTGGATATTGTTGTTTAAGATAGTAACTCAACTTTCTTTTTGGACATAACTATACACACACCAAAAAAAAAAAAAACTGCAGGAAGGAAAAAAGTTGCTTTTACACTCTAGTACCTACAGAATTTAAGATTCATACCACATTTGTCACTTAAAATTATCTTTCAACATGAATATGCTTTCTGTACATTACAATATCCTCATTCATTTGAAAATGTTACGAAGAGGTGAGTGTGCCTGGCAGAGTGCTAGCTGGGTCCCGAGAGACAGGGACGAGAGAGCACACTCAGTGTGCGGCGAGGCTCCACGTGAGGCTGGCTGCTCTGAGGGCCCAAGAGCTGGCCTCACAGAGATGACCTCACCGCCCATGGAACCAAAGGCCACAACGTGCTCTCTGAAAAGGCAGCTTTCTGTGAAACACACAACCAGTGCAAGTTCAACGCATGAGGCAGGGCACTCAAAGCCAGCGCTCTGGGACAAGCCAGAGGGACGGGGTGGGGTGGGACGAGGGAGTGGGGTTCAGGAGGGGGACACGTGCATCTGTGGCCAATTCATGTCAGTGTATGGCAAAAGCTATCATAATGTTGTAAAGTAATTATCCTCCAATTAAAATTAGTTAGTTAAAAAATAAACAAAAAGGCAAGTTTCAGAACCGCTTACTTGTGGGATGTCCTTTTCTTCATCATGCTTGCAGATACACCAGCATGGCCTAAAAGAGAAGTGAGTATACGTCAATGAAAACTGGACTGAAAAATAGTTCAAACTCAGGAAAAAGTTATCTTATGAAAAACTGCCATATAAAGTATGAAATTAAAATAAACCACAAGGGAATTCCCTGGCAGCCCCGTGGTTAGGACTCTGTACTACTCTGTGCTTTCACTGCCAAAGGTCCAGGTTCCATTCCTGGTTAGGGGACTCTGCAGAATACCACGAGCCACAAGACACGGCCAAAAAACAAACAAACAAAAAAACCCAAAATGGCAAAATGTAAGAAAACCATTTGCTTACTTATCTTTTAAACAGAAGATATAAGGGGTTCTGGGAAGATAAAATGACAGGAAGAGCAGCTTATCGGCCTAAATTGGCCATGAAACACAAAAAAAGCAACATCACATGGATAAAAACTACAGCCAAAAAAAGTGACAATCCTAGTCATAAAGTACTAAAAGGTATAGAACTCATCTTCCTGCCACAAACAACTAGAAAATGGGACAAGAAATGTGAAACATCTGGATCCAGACATCAGGACAACAGGCAGCACAGGACTACGGAGCCAGGGAGCAGAAAACCCACACAAGGAGCCCTACACCAGGCAAGGGCACCCCAAGAAGCACCTGAGGACAGTGGCGCACGAAAGAGTAACCGAGAACATGGAGGCTGAGCCCCACGGAGAGCCAGATGGAAGCCAAGGAAGCGGGGGGCTGGGAGTCGTGGGTCAGAGTGCCGGCAAGGGGAGAGGTCTCACGGGGGCCAAACCTCTGGAAAAGGCATGGTGGTCTTCATTCTGTGGCGAGATACTAACTTGCAAAGGCATGAGAGCTGTTCAGACTCCATCTCGCCACCTCTCTGAACACACAGGACAATCAGGAGAAACCATAAAGACAATCCCTTGGCAGGAGGATGAAGCAGCCCTAAGAAAAGCTGCTACAGACACATCCCAGAACGTGCTTGCCAAAACAAAACTCCAATATTCAGTAAAGGACACCAGTAAAACCCAATGCTCCACAATTGGGTTGGATACTTCAGACGTCCAACATCCCAATTACAAGTACTAGGTCTGTGGGAAAGCAGCAGCCTGTAACCCCATAAGCAAATAGGTTTTAACCAAAACAATGTAATTAGCAGGCAAAGATGCTAAAAGAACGATTAACAACTATGCTCAAACAGTTAAAGGAAGACATAAATACTTAAAACAGAAGAATGGGGGAAGGAGAAGAAAGAAATGAAACTGATGAAAAATACATGATCCAAAATGAAGAAGAAAAAAACCCCCACTGGATGTGGTTAGTAGCAGATCAGCCCCCACAAAAAAAGCAGTGAATGTGAGACATTGTAACACAACATATCCAAAATAGAACACAAACAGCCTCAGTGACTTCTAGGACAAGATCAACTGGCCCAGCAAAATGAAATGGACTCCACAAAAGAGGACAGAGGGGTGAACAAAAAGTCTGACAAAAATAATGGCAGTTTTTCAGATGTGATAAGTACATAAACACAGATCCAACAAGGTCAATGAAGTCAAAGTAAGATAAAAACAAAGGGAAAAACAGTAAGGCACAGCCTAACCAATTTCTGAAAACCAGTGACACAGAAAATACTTTTAAACAGCCAAACAATAAAAGACATCTTAAATTTAGGGAAACAAAATAGTTGCTCCAGATTTGTTGTCAGAAACAATGTTGGCCAGAAAAAACAGTGGACTAAATCTTTAAAGTGCTGCTCAGATAAAGAAAATAATCTACTTGTGAATACTATATACAGCAAAAATCTTTCCACCCCAACAATATTATTTCACTAAATATAGTTTAAATACATCAATTAAGAGACCATAGAAAGAATAAACAATTACTAAAATCAAAGGTAGCAGGCATCAAAAAGGATATTCCAAAATGATAACAGGGTCGATTAAGAAGCCACAACACTCTTTCCTTTCCAGGGTGTGGGAGGCAAGATGGCAGTGCAGATTTGCAAGAAGAGAAAGTTTGTCTTTGAAGAAGATGGCATCTTCAAAGCTGAACTGAACAAGTTTCTCACTCAGGAGATGGCTGAAGATGGGTACTCTGGAGTTGAGGTCCGAGTTACACCAACCAGGACAGAAATCATTATCATGGCCACAAGGACAGAGAATGCTCTTGGTGAGGAGGGCTGGGGGATCTGGGAATTGTCTGTTGTGGTTCAGAAGACATGTGGCTTCCCTGAGGACAGTCTGTGTGCCATTGTCCAGGCAGTCTCTGCATTACAGACTCCTAGGAGGCCTTGCTGTGCGAAGGGCCTACTATGGTGTGCTGAGGTTCATCGTGGGGCCAAAGGCTGTGAGGTCATGGTGTCTGGAAAACTCCAAGGATAGAGGGCTAAATCCATGAAGTTTGTGGATGGCCTCATGATCCACAGCGGAAACTCTGTTAACTACTATGCTGACGCCTCCACACGCCACGCGCTGCTCAGATCATGCTGCCTTGGGACCCAATCGGTAAGACTGGCCCTAAGAAGCCTTTGCTTGTTCACGGAAACACTGTGGAACCCAGAGATGAAAATGCTGCCTACCGACCCCATGAACAGAGAAGTGGGAAGCCAGAGCTGCCTGCCATGCCCTAGTCGGTAACCAAGGCAAGACAGATTTCCTTGGCCCTGGGTCTGGAGCCTGGATGTTGCTCTATAAAGATCTTTAATAAAATATTTTTAAAAGACAAAAAAAAAAAGAAGCCACAACAGGGCTGGTGGTCCTGTGGTTAGGGCTTCCAGTTCTCATTACTGAGGGCCTGAGTTCAGTATCTGGTCAGGGAACTAGGGAACTAAGATCCCACAGTCATGTAGCACAGTCAAAAATAAACAAACTAAACAAACAAAAAAAAGAAGCTATAACAATCTTAAAAGTATATAAACCTAATTATAGTCTACGGAAATATATAAAGCAAAAACTGATAGAATAAGAAAAATTGACATACTCATATTTAAAAATATAAACACTTCTCAGTAATTGATATAACAAGTGGGTAGGAATGTAAGAAAAGGATATAGAAGACCTAAACATCACAAACAGCCAACTAGGCTTAGATGACATTTACAGAATGTCAATCCAGTAATGCCAAAATAAACCTTTTTTCCAAGTTCACATGGGACATTAACCCAGATACTACCATACTATATGCTACTCAGAATACAAACTCTCAATACACTTAATGTGAAACCATACAAAGGATGTCCTCTGACTACATCAGAATTTAATTAGAAATAAATATCTGTAAATACCCCAATATCTGAAAATTAAACAATCTTCTAAAACTTCATGTTTCGAACACAAAGTCACAATGAAAATTCAAATATTTTGAATAAGAAAACAACAACTTATCAATATCTACAGAGTGCTTCAAAAGCAGTGTATACCCTATTGATCAAAATTCACACTAAGTAACATAATCCACCTGGGTGGAGGAAGAAGGCTTCTGGCTTATCTGCAAAGTTCTCTCCTTGGCATTACATCAAGACATGCAGTTTTTAAACATAAATTTCTGCAATTACATAACAATTCTATAAAGATAAATGAAAAAGGATACATATGGTCAGTTGGTCTGTGCAAGACTGTCCATTCTACTTCACATATAAAAACTGTCAAGCATGATCCCAAATGCTAAGAGAGCCATCCCCCCTTAATTTCACCTGGCCTGTTTACATACACTGAATGAAGTGGGCAGCTCATACAAGACACAGACTAAGAAGAGATCCAATCTACCCGAAGCATCTCTACAAGAGCCCTTTCAGCATTGAGATGCAGCTGCAAATGCCTATGGATGGCCGTCCAGTTGATCCCGTCAACCCACACGAAATTTCATAATCGCACTTTATGCCCACTTCACTTCTGGTCTCAAAGTTCCTCCTTAGTACAGAGGAGAGTAATCAATATCTCCACCCTCAAAGAGGCTGTAGTGAAAAAAGTAGACAATAAACAAGAACAAATGAGTAATATAAGCAGAAAAATGGAATGTCTAAGAAAAAAACAAAAGGACACGGCAGATGGGCTCCCTTGATGGTTCAGTGGTAAAGAATCCACTGCCAATGCAGGAAATATGGGTTTGATCCCTGGTCGGGGAAGATCCTACATACCGCAGAACAACTAAGCCCCTATGTCACTACTATTGAGCCTGTGTTCTAGATAGACCCCAGGAAGAGCAACTACTGAGCCCGCTGGCCTACAGCCAGCGCTCCACAACAAGAGAAGCCACTGCAATGAAAAGCCTGCACAGCAAAGAAGACCCTTTGCGACCCCATGGACAGTAGCCCACCAGGCTCCTCCGTCCATGGGATTTTCCAGGCAAGAGTACTGGAGTGGGGTGCCACTTCCTTCTCCAGAGGATCCTCCCAGCCCAGGGATGGAACCTGGGTCTCCTGCATTGCAGGCAGACGCTTTACCATCTGAGCCACCAGGGAAGTCCTAGAGAAGATCCAGCATAACCAAAATAGGATTTTTTAAAATCGAAGAGATTTAAAATAAAAGACACAGCAGAAATCAAAAACACCAAAACAGAAATGAAGAATGCTTTGATAGATTCATTAGTAGACTGAGTAGACTCAGCTAAGGAAACAACTTCTGAGCTTGAAGATATGTCAACAGAAACTTCCAATACTGAAAAGTAAAGAGAAAAAGATAAAAATGCAGGGAAAAACAGAATATCTAAGAACTGTTAAACAACAACATAAGTATAATATGTGCATAATGAGAATATCAGAAAGACAAGAAAGAAACAGGAAAAAATATGTAAAGTAATAACAATCTGCCCCAAATTAATGTCAGATACCAAAGCACAGACAAGGAAGTGCAGAGAACACCAACCAGGAAAAGTGCCAAGGAAACAAAAACAAAACCTAAATAGGCTTTTCATATTCAAATGTGAGGAAAAAAAATCAAAGATAAAGAAAAAAACCTCTTAAGAAGCCAGAATAAAGAAAAAAAAAAGCAAAATTAAGAATCAGATCCTATTTCTCCTCAGA